TGGTTTCTCTCTCTCCCACCCACTCTTTCGATTCGATCTCCCTCCGTCTCATCGTTCCCGATTCTAGGGTTTTTGCTCCGATAACAATTCCTCCAATTCGATTTGGGGCAGAGCGCTAGGGTTTCTGCGCTGCCAGATCCGTTTTCGGATTTCGGGTTTCTTTATTCGGAGCCCTTTCTTCAGAAATTCAACATGTTTTGGCGCATGGCAGGCTTGTCCACGGCGTCTCCGGTGAGTTATTCACTCTCATTTTTTCATTTCTTCTCGTAAGCTGCCTGGACACTGACTCGTGAATTGCTGGTGGTTTCGGTTGTTTTCTCGATTCCGTGTTTGCTTGGATTTGATTTTCTGTTTGTTTTCTGGGAAAAAGTGTGACGATTTAGAGGGTTTTTGTTTTTAATTTACTCTACGGTGATCTAAACGTTGTTCTTCTCTAATTTGTTTATTTTTGAATCGGATACTTTGATTAATTGAATTGGTGCGTGTAACTCCGTTCCTGATTATGCAGCGATGCCTTTTGATGTTTTGGCAAGTTTGTGGTTACTGTCACGTTAGGTCCAGAACACTAGGGTAGTGTCTGTACTTGTGGGTTTTGAAAATCTAGATGTAGTGATGAGCTAATGATAGTCGGGGATTGTTGTTGGCTGAGATTTCCTTTGAGTGATTGTGAAAATGATATATCACGATCAGTAATGACCGAGGAGTGTGTGAATGATCAATGGAGCATTGTGGAGGGCTAAGGATTCGTGTTGTTTATGGATAAATGAATGGAACTAATGTTTGCAGTTTAGACGATGCTTGCTAGTGAGAATTTTCAGTGATGTTAAAATATGGTAATAATAATACTACCTTACTTCAGAATTTCTTAGAATGCATTGTGCCACAACTCACAAGTATTTCATACATTCGTGATGTTTTCTTTGATATTCCAAACATCATATCTTTTATGCTACTGTTGACTAATTTTTGTCATCTTTCTTCCCCTTCCCTGAGATCAGTAAATTATATACATGAGTAGTTTTTTTGTTGTAAAATTGAGTTTATTAGAAAAAGAGGGAAAGTGAATCAATAGGAGGAAAAGGTTTCATCCAAAATGGAAAAGAAACTTATATTAGAGAACAAGATAAAGTAAAAAAAAAAAAAGAATTATAGATGTTCAATTCTTATGCACACAAATGTTAGCATGTACCTTGTGATGGTTCAGAAAGGCTTGAAAAACCACCTTTCATTCTTGTTCTTGAAGGGAGATTGGCTTTTATCAGAGTAGATTAGCAGCTATATTGTTTATTTAAATCACATTGCTTATGCAAATTTTTGCCATGGAAGAGTGTAAAAGTGCCAAGTAGAATCAGTAAAAGATAATTGTAACATGAAGTGTGAATTGAATTTAAGTTAGTACATTTGTGACAAATAGTGTTGGACTCAATTGTATATAAGTGTAAGATTATAATCTGTCTAATAATAATTTATTTTCCAAATCATGTAAAGTGAATGCATAAGAATAAACTACAGCCCTTGTGGTGGGGTGGAAAGAGAAAATGCAGTAGGGATCAGCAATTCTGCTTTAAGCTACTGTGCATTATGTTTTCTTGGTGTTTTTATTGGCAGATAAGAATGAGATCTCAAATTAAAATTTTTTGTATGGCCAGTAAATTCCATGTTAATTTGATTTTACAACTATTAATTTGCATTATTTTATTGCTTGTTTCTTTGGGGGCTAGAATAGATATATACAATATTTAATTTTTAGATACCTATTGGTGTAGAGATTTTACTGGTTTATTTGGTGTACCATATTGCAGGTGGAGACCATTTTGGACAGGGAGAATTTTACTTTGGATGAACTACTTGATGAGGATGAAATTATTCAGGAATGCAAAGCTCTTAACAGTCGCCTTATAAATTTGTAATGCTCTTTTCTGCTATTAGTAATGTATTTCTTATTTCAAATTATTATGATGTATTTTTTAGTTGATTTCTTGCTTTTCTTGTTCTGTTTTAGTTTTGCAGAAATTATCATTAAGAAGTGAATTATAATAAGTTTTATCAGAATAAAAAAAAACTGACTTATGAATAAAGACTTTTGACTTGATAGTATTATTGTTTGGGGGTGAGATGAGATAATGAAGTGACTTTCTTGAAATTATTAAAGTGATACCTTTTAGCAATTTAGACTTTATCTTTTATGTTCTAATTAATTAGATTAGGAAACTAAGTATGGGTTTGAGTTTTCATTTTATTGACTTGTGAGTTCTCTTAATTTGAGTTTTGATAATCTGATTCAAAACTTGAAAACGTGTCAGTTTGGTTGTGAATTGTGATAATGAATAGGGATGATACTTTTTTAATTGTAATTATTGTGAATAACTAATCATTTAGTTAATACTCATTTACTTTTTTTTGTCTACAACTCAATCTGGTACAGGAATCAGGATAATAAAGAATGAAGAGATTCTTTGTATAATTTAACTCATACATACTAATGTTAAAAAGGGGGCCAGTGCATGAGGCTCTCATCATAGTAAACTTATGTTTCGTTGTATTTTTTTTTGTAAGGACAAGAATTTCATAACAAAAATGAAAGTTTGGAAGCACAATTTTTTTTTATAAAATTGTCTTTTTGTTATTGGTGTTTAAGCATAATAATATAAAATGTACAGTGATGAAGTTGTAAGGTTTTAGGAATATAGAGAGGAAAAGGAGAGAATAGAAACTAAATACTATGAATTTGATTGTTGATATGATTTTATGTATTACAATTACAATGTGATATAAAGCATGAAGCACCGGCCCTAGTTTATTCTAATACCAGATCATAATCCTATTCCTAGCTGAATAAAGAAACAAATAGTGAAAATATTAGGAAATATGGAAACTAAGGAAATAGGAAAATATATGATTTGTTTTTAAAGCTTAGATTTTAATAGACACTCCTATTTCCTACTGTAGTAAAGTTTTAGACTTCTAGCAATTGCACTTCGTTCTTTGTCATTTGTTTGAAAGGAAGGGTGTGGGGTTGTCTCTTCGGTGCAGCTCCCAGTATGACTTTCTTTTTTAAAGATGTTAATAAAATGCTTTATTTCCTTTTTCTAAAGTATTTAATGGGATAATTTGATGCACACCGAATCTTCCCCTCTTGAATTTAGCAGATAGTTTTTTGAATGTTGTAGTCTATATCTGATGACTTCTGGATTATCTTTTTCTGCTATAAGCTTTTAAATTATAGATTCCTTTGTCTTGGATACTGATAACATAGGTGTGCATTGGATAAATTGTTCCTTTTTCCAGTTTTTTTTTTCTTTCTTTCAACTGGTGTTTTATTGTTGTGTAATTAACTGACTACACTAGCCTTTTAATTCATTTGCACTTAATGAAGTTTTATGCTGCTTGTTGCAGTTTGTCTGGAAGAGCTCAGGTTGAACAATTGATACGGTACATCATTGAAGAAGCTCCTGATGATGCAGAAAAGAAGCGATCTTTTAAGTAGGTTGCTCAAATTGGAGATTAAGTTCCTCTTTAGCTGGATATCTGTAATTATATATCTTAATGCTACCTACTAATTTATAACAGGTTTCCTTTTATTGCGTGTGAGATTTTTACCTGCGAAATTGATGTCATACTCAAAACCCTTGTAGAGGATGAGGAAGTAAGACATCAGAACTTCAAAACCCTTTTTTGTTGGTAATATTTTTAGGAGTGCTGACTTCATTTCTTCTTGGCAGTTAATGAATTTGTTCTTCTCCTTTCTGGATCCAAATCACTCCCATACTAACCTACTAGCTGGATATTTTAGCAAGGTACTGATTTATTGAAATTTGAATGTTACTGCATGTTTGATTAGGCTATAGAATTACTTGTCGTGGGGAGAGTTGAGCTTGCCCAGAAATATGCCTGCCAACTAATGAGTTAACTTTTTCTCTTACTCTAAAATTATTTGACTTAAGGACTAATTCTGGTTGAGTTGACCAATCCTTTACCATTGAGATTTGAACTTAATACACTGTTTAATTTTCTTTTATTTTCTCGTTTGTTATTAATTTTTTTTCTTCTATTTTACAGTTCTTTTTACAAGTAATCTTGGACATTGTATTTATTAAGTTCTTATGCTGCTAGGTAGTTGTATGCCTGTTGTTACGTAAGACAGTTCCTTTCATGCAATATATTCAAGTAAGTTCACAACTTCTTAATTTTTTTTATTCAGAAATATGTTGGCCATGCTGTATCGCTATCACATTGAACTATTGTGTGCAATAGATTATTGCAGAACATGATACATTTTCTTTTAAATAACACTAGTTGGTTGGTTTGAAAAAACATCAGTTTTTCATGTTGTCCTCTTTTTAGAATGTATTATATTATGTTTATGACATGATTCTGTAAAAAATGTGTTATTGTTTTATTAATGCAAATCCCTCAAGTCTGTTACTGATTTTGATTTAATATGGCTTCACTAACAACTAAGAATTTTTACTACTAACAGCATAGGCAATATCTGGTCAAGTGTGAGATAAATATATGAACTTCCCTACCAATCTCTTGTGCCAAGTGTCAAGACTTTTCTACATGTGAACTTTCTGTACGTCCAATCTTGTGATTTTGTTCAATTGGGATCCTTGAGGTCCTGCATCCTGGCTTTCTTGTCTCTTTGAGAAGATTGAGGACATACTTTTGAGGGATAAAAATTCCTTTTCTGGAGTAGGCAACTTCTATCCTCAGAAAATACTTAAACTTCCCCAAGTCCTTCATTTCAAATTGTCTCCCCAATTTATCCTTAAAGGTCAATTTCTCTATCTCATCACCTGGAATGATCATATCTTCTACATAAACTAAAAGGGTGATTTTGCCAGCAAGGGAATGTCTTATGAAGAAAATGTAGCTTTGTTTATATCGTAGGGAAATCATGGTTCGAGTAAATCTTCTAAACCATACCCAAGGAGATTGCTTTAGCCCATATAAAGGCATTCTTTAGTTTGAACACTTTGTGCTTTTCATTTTGGGATTCAAAACTTGATGGGATCTCCATGTAAACATCTTCCAAGTCTCCATGAAGAAAAGATTTTTAACATTGAATTGCTGCATGTCCCAGCTAAAATGGGTTGCTAGGGAAAAAATGACTCATTGTATTCATCTTTGCTATTGGGGCATGTCTCCTCATAGGTCTAGGTGTATCCCTTTGTCACCAATCTTGTTCTGTATCGATCTATCGTCACATTGGATTTGTACTTTATTGTGAATGTCCATCTACACCCTAAAACCTTCTTGTCTCTAGGTTTTTCAACTACCTTTGAGCCCTTGTATCCTCCTTCATGACTTGAATCTAGCGTTCATTTGTCATAGCCTCTTGGATTGAAGTTGGCACTTTTATTGCATCAATTAATGGCAACAATACAACTCTGATGCTAGATAGAGAGATGGTTATGCAAACATATTGAGAAATAGGGTATCTAACACATGACCTTTTTTCCCCTCAAAGCAATAGACTATAGACATATCATCACTAACTTGTCTCCTCGGTGTTACCTCCAAGGACACCCACCTTAAAACCAAATGACTTGACTTGCTGTCAGACCAAAGTGGGTTTCTCCTTCCTTTGATATTTCTTTCCAAAGGACCGGCCTTCCTCCTCAAATTTAACTTTATTATGGGTCCATTTCTATCTCATTAGAGACATCAAGACTAACGTATTTTATACCATTATCTGACCCAATTTATCTAATTGATTTACCAAACCAATTTTTGACAAAACAAAAACGGACAAATATTTGACAAACCTCAGAATTATTTTTCATAAGATAGGTCTATGTTATTTGGGTAGAATTGTCAATAAAGGTCACAAACCATTTTGTGCCATATATTGATTATACAATTGGTCCACATATTAGAATGTATAAAATCAAAATGAGAACCACTTTTATTATTAAGAGGAAAAGTTTTACAATAACAAATATCAAAGTGAAAAGACTCGACAAACTCTTGCAAACAAGTAATGAAATAAAAGCTTAAGTGAACTAAAAAGAGGATGTCCATGTAGTTTGTGGTAAATCCATATTTGGGGTGAAGCTCATGTTTTTGACTTTGCTTGTTGGCTTAAGGGTAACTCCTTTTTTTGTCATTAGTCTTCTTGAGTTACAAGAAGCACTACCCATCCTGCTTGAGAATGGAAAAATTTTATTGAGCAATTCAAGTCTTTTGTAAGCCTATGTATGAAAATAAGGTCATTAGCCAATTTCAGAACATGCAAAACACTGTAAAAAAAGGAGGACTTTATTTTGAACGTTGTTAGAGCCAACAATAGGCACACAATCTCCATTAGTAACTTTGATAAATTGCTTGTTAGTGGAGTATGATGCAAAATATGTAGAAAAAGGGGGCATGTGATTTGTTGCCTTGGAGCCAAAGGTATTGAAAGAGCTCTGTCCCTTCATGGATTGCGTACATGAGTTAGAAGGCTTACTCACGGATCCAATTAGCATCTTAAGGCTTTTTGCCTTGCAGGCTATAATATCCTATTCGAGTTGAGGTTGGGCAGCTGGTGGATCTACTTCCTCATGATCTGATGTGGTTTGGTTTACCCATTTCAATGTGGCTCCTTGGTTTCCACCCATGTGTTTAGGGACCTTCTCCCTTTCGTGAAGCTTGTAGCATGTCTCCTTAGTATGATATGGTTTTTTACAATATGTGCAATACTCCCCATCCTTTGTGAGAGATTTTTGTCTAGAGGTTGGCCCTTTGTAGGATCCCTTTCCTATTTCCATAGCTAAGCATGAATTGGAATTCCCTTCATCAAGCATGACTAATCTCCAAGTGGGTCATATTTTTGGGTTTCTACCATGTGGGGACTTGAAAATTCTCTCTTTACACAAACTCCTCATGTTTGGTGGCATTGGTTTTACACATCTTCAGACTTTGGTAATGGTTCAACTTGATCCACAACCCATTAAGAATTCCATGATATTCTTTTACCATAAGGGTGCCTTGGTATTAAAATTCCCACTTTCAAGAACATAGCAACAAAGTCTTTCAAGGGCAAATAATGGGAATGGAAGTCCTAGTTGATTCATTTATTGATGATGATGAGAATACAATTGAATGGGTAGAATGCTTTAACTTAGTATTGGGTTTTTGACTTAACATCTATCAAACCTTGCAAGCCAACATTGTAACCTAACACACTTTTCGAGGAGCTTATGTGGTGTTGAAGAATGTTGTTAAAATCGCGATCAACCTTGTGGTACCGCATGATTTTATGAGTGAAGCATCCACTATTGAGTTGGATCATACTCAAGATTGTTGGTGAGTGAGATCGTACTGGGATCATGATTTACTACATTCAATATCGGTTCCAGCGAGACAAATCATTCTATTTCTCCTTTGAAAGCAAGTTCCCTTCCATTGACAACACTTCTTTGACCTTTGAATTGTGTGCCCTTGTGCCTCATCTTCGCAACAACCAAATCTCCACTTCACATTGATACCATTGTAGTGGTTTGTTGTTGTAGCCATTGCATTTCAATTGCCATCGGATCACTAATGTCACAATTGGATCACTCATGACTTACACATTTGGGACTTGGGTCTCTCTCTTGCCTTAGGTTTGTAGTTGCACTGAAACTTTCTCAACGGAGGCACCATTATCACTCATTAGTCAGAAGTGAAGCTAATAGGTCTTTGGGTTGTTATTAGAGGAATTGGGCCCAAACATTTTTCTTTGATTTCTCTTTTTCTGGTTTGATTTGTTAGGCCTCAATTTGAGCCCAATTTAGCTTATATATATATATAATAAATTGAAGAATAACAATAATAAAAATATAACAATATTAAAAGTATAATCATAATTTTTTTAAAAAACAATATATAATGTAATAAACTAAATAATAACTAAAATAAAAAATGATATAATAAATAAATGAATAATATGACCCCAACTCAATCTTACAAAATTGATTTGTAATGTGATGATTGCTTTCCACTTATATACTCTATTATGGCCATAACACTAGCCTATGGGGAATCTCCAATAGTTTGTATTGAGATTAGGCTTTGAGGGTTGAGTGGCTTGTGGGCATTGGCATTTACTTCACTGTAATTTTAACCAGGTCATATTGCATGTCCATTTCTTTTATTCTCCATTACATTTATGGTTATAACTGTCAGAATAGGTGTTAAGCTTGAGAACTGAAAAATACCCTACAGAGTACAGACTTTCACCACGCTTGTTCGTGCTTTTAAAATAGCATAAATACTGCAGCAAAAGTGGGTTACATGTGAATTCGAAAGATATCCCACAAAGTTTCCTCACTCATGCTGTGAGTTATATATTAGCAAAACTAACATAAAAAGTGTGATATGTGTTGGAACTCGAAAGATATGCCACAAATTTTCCTCACTCATGCTGAACAATTTGGGGAGTATTTCCTGGTGTTCTATATTCCAGTAATGGACTGAAAACGGAATGATTGCTTATTTTCATTGTTGTATTAAGGATCCATTGGTTGCACTTATCAGTTATCTGATATGTTGTCCTTATGACTATCCAGGATCACCAGGAAATTGTGAAGAAACTAGTTGAGTTGATTGGAATTACATCTATCATGGAGGTTGGTTTTTTTGACAACTTTTATTTTATTTTTTAAATGCTGTACTCACTGGTTAAGCTTTGTCATTGATTTGCTTTTTCTGCAAGTTCAAATGTTATGTTTTACTTGTATTATTGCTGATACATGCTCATGGGAGTTAGTATTTTAAATCTTAAACAATCAATTACTTTCATTGGTGAAAATTTCTGTTCCTCTCTACATTATGTTCTTGTGTGTTTTTGTATGCTTATAGTTTTAGTGGTAATCTTTTTCTCCTAAATAATACCAGGTTTTGATACGCCTTATTGGTGCCGATGAACATATGTATGTAAGTAATGTGGATGCAATGCATTGGATTGAAGATAGCAACGTGCTTGAGATGATTGTGGATAAATTCAGTTCTTCGGTGAGTATCCTCAGTTTTCTAAAATCTCTACTGGATGATTTTGATATGTTCAACATTTCAAAGTCTGAAGTTGTGTTACTGGATTTGGATGGATAAAATTAAAAATTATTAAAAAGATGACGCGATTCCAATAAGTGAATTAAATATGTTAATGTTTAAGCATTGATGCTATATTATTTTCATGCTCAGATGGAACATTTAATCTTTAAGGAAGTTTTATTTGCCACTGTCAGTTTATACTTAAATGATAATCATTGTACCCCATTTGACTTGTATCAACTTTTTTTATTAGAGTGATGCAGTACTACCCGCATCATGTTTTTCTTCATTTGAGTTATATTTTCTTAAATAGTTGTCAATAGCACCAAATAGTGGTGCTATCGCAGAATTGTGTTGTGAAGCGGCTGGTTGCAATAGCTGACAAAATCAGAGTTGCATCTGGAGTGAGTGCTATTGGAGTGAGTTGGAAAAAATTATTTTAACGATGAAATAGTGTCATTTAGGCTGTTTTATACTTGTGACAGTTGTCCACCCCCAACCTCTGCAGCCACTGCTCTCCATAGTTTCTAATCAATTCTGAGATCTCTGAACATTTTCTGGCGTATTTGTCATTGTTTCTGGCCAACTGTGACCTTTACTGCCTTGCCTTGATCTGTCCTAGCATTGTTTTTTTTCTCTGTACAAAAATGCTCTTAAATCTCACTAGTCTTTTCTTCTAAGTTTTACCCTTTAATTTATTTGGTATTTGGTTATAATAGTGGCCTTTGCGGTCTTCACAGTCTGGCTATATAGCATTTACAGGGCCAGCTGCACAACATTACTATTTGGGATTGACAACAATGTTTTGTTCATGTGGTTAAAATTTTATTTATATTTATAGTTGAATGAGAAAGTTGAAAAAGAAAACTGTAAATTATGTGTGTTGTACATTTACTAATCTCCCTTTTTCTAGGGTAAAGATTATGCCTAAAAAGGAAATACAGAAATAACACTAATAGGGACACATCACAAGAAACCTATCCTAATTTTTACCTTTAAAAAATATCTCTGATGTTTCCAACAATTATAACATTTCTGTTTGTGGAATAAATATTATAAAAATGTTGAATCAAGTCTGGATGAAGTATTTACTTAAATGCAAATACAATTGTATAAAATATATGGAGATCAGCAGAAGCACCCGACTTAACTATGAAAGCACACAGAAAATATTTAGGTTGAGAGCAAGCAATCATATCGTATGCTTTGTGTTTTGTTGGACTAGAATGTTTATGTATTAAGCATAGTATTTTGTCTGCACTATCGTTATGAGGTAGGATAATTTTTATTGCTGCCAGGCTATATGACTAAATAGCTGTATTGCACTGGTAAGCATTTTCACTTGTACTGTATCTTTTTTGTTTAATGCACAAGGATATCTATGTTTTACTTGTCCTTGTACTGCACTTTTCTCTGACAGAACCTCCTTAAACCCCCTCTAACCTATAAAGATGAATACAATTAGTACATACTATAAATGGGATAAGGATAATGTATATAACCATGTATTATCTTTATCAAGAAGGCCACTGAATACATTCACATTGACTAAACATTCTTTTGGTGTGGCATTTACAGGATTCTCCAGAAGTTCATTCTAATGCAGCTGAAACTCTCTGTGCAATTACACGATTTGCTCCAGCAGGGCTTTCTGCAAAAATCTCCAGCCCTAGGTAGGTTTGTTTCATGACTTTTTTGTTGTTGTTGTCTTACATCAGTATTTATCACTTGACGTTTATGCATCTTTTTCCTCTTGAACCAACATCTTTTATCATCTATTTGCAGCTTTATAGGAAGATTATTTCGTCATGCTCTGGAAGTCTCTCGGCCAAAATCTGTTCTTGTTAACTCTTTATCTGTATGCATATCTTTGCTAGACCCCAAGAGACATACTTTTGGAGCTTATTTTACATATAATCGCCAAATGACTAATGGATCCACTGTAAATGCAAATCCTGAGACTGTTGAAGGCATGCTAGAAAGCCTAGGTAAGACTTCCTCCATCCAGTTTGACCTTCATCTTAAATTCTATGTCTCAAATTCATCTTGTTAGTGTTATAATGCTGAGCTCTATATAATGTTCGCAAATAGCCACTGTGGCAAATGGTAGTGCCATATTTCAGCCAAACTGCCACTGAAATACCATGGTGCAGAGATTTTCTCATGGCAGCCAGCTGGGCTCATAGTGGGATGATGTTTTGGTGCTACCTGGTTAATGCAGCTGAAACTGCAGAGGCTAATATGCGGTTCTCCTGTTTAAGGGTATATTGGTGTTTTTGGCAATTCTTTCACTAGATAAAAATTCAAAGTAACCATTGAACGGAGCAGCGTGCCTAAGTAATTAGTCAAATGTTTTCAATGGTGAATTGCAGATAATAGGTCATAGCTTCAAGTTTCCATTTGTGTATGGTTACTTATCTTTGCAACATAATATGCCTTCTAGGGTTTACTCAACTCTAATATGTCGACAATTTTGATTAATGGACACATTTCTGGACGGTTTAACAGTGTTTTTAGTGGAAATAGTTTTCTGAATACATGAACAGAAAGCAACTTAACCTCGATCTTCATATATGCAACTTTTTATTGGTTTGATTTCTTTTGAACTTCGTACTGCTATGCTCTCTCTATTGCTTCATGCAAACACCCCCCCCCCCCCC